TAAAAATTCCCAACGCAGTTTATTTCTATCTAACATTTGATTATATACAAACTACTTTCAGGAAGAAAAAGAATTAAGCCATTAAAGAGCGTATACGCGCGCTAAATTAACAGCCGCTAAACTGCAAGGTTTTGTGATCGCCGAGTAAGTTGCTCGTCATTCTAACGCCTTTCTTGGAGAAATCAAGCGTCTGCGCGAAGCCATGCTGCCTGCGTCCGGTCAACGGACACTTATTAATCCGATGATCTGCTGCGTAATCCAGCATCGTTTATTAATCGCTATCAATCGGAGTCGCCGAGTAGGAAGACCCCGAGTATCGCGTGCTCACACTCGCGGACTAATGATCTCCGCCTGAAGACAAGGAGGAACGAGCGTCTAATGAACGTCCGCCGCGCGATAATAAATCGCTCGCTGGCGCGCGCGCGCGCGCGCGCGCCACAAGAAAAGAAGTCTCGATGCAAATCAATCGACATTTCTTCTTGTTCCTCGATACTCGCGCGCGCGCTCGATCGATCCAACTTCATCCAAGCGTTCCGATCCAATAAATAAGAACGGAATAACACGCTGTATAATCTTTATCGCTCATGCGAATCGGTTTTGCCGGCGCGATCAGCGCGACAATCCGTCTTCTGACCGGCTATTTCGCTCGCGATCACCTGAGAATGACCCCCTTATTCCTGACGAAACATTCTAAATTATGTACTTGCCGTTAGTACAGCCTCGCTGACCCGTAACTGTAATATAATAATGGACTGTGACGCGATGAAAAACACAACTGGCTCGTATACGCGAGTAGCGCTCCACTGAAAATCGAAATGTAACTTACGTAACAATCGATGTAGATATGTGTATGTTATAAATGTCACAGCATCCTTTTCCTCACTGCCGACTTATGCAAAAAAGATTCTTGTCTTTACGATGGATATTTCTTACGTAAACGTATTAAGAAACGCATTCAAATCGTATTAAGAAATGTAATCTTTCAATTCTAGCGTTATTCTCATCATATTCTATTTTTCATCGTATATATATATATATATATTTTTATCCACTTAAAACAACCCATTTCTTCTTTGATTTATTACATCCTTGTTTCATGTTGATTAATATACAAATAATAAATCAAGATAGTATATCGTAATTACAATACACTTTTACCTTATTCGCAAATTAATTTTAAAATAATTTCTTATTCGCAAAGAATT